ACAAAAAAACAAACACATCATTGTAAAATCAATACATTCATCACTTCGTTCAGAATATAAAACGTGTTTTCACGAAGACATCAATGACAACTGGTTTTCACAAAAACTTAAATTTACAATAGCATATTAATATTATTTATATCTATTAATTGATTAATTATTGACTTGAGATTAATCTTATTTTCAAAATATTTGGATTTATTTTAAACTGTTTATGGACATTTTCAGTTTCCATTAAAAAAAAATTGTTTTTCTCTTAATATAAGTAAAATTTTATTTGTTCGGTTAAAACCCATGAAAATTTAATACAAGACTCTTGATATAATATATTGTTACAATAGCAGTTGAAAAAAATTAAAAATACTGGGGCACATTTTTTTTTTTATATAAGCTTCTTAAAGTATGAATTTTGACAAAATTTATCAAATTGAAAATTGAAAAATTATTTTGTAGTTAAAACTTAAAAAAATTATAAAATGTTAATTTTATAATTTATATAATCAAGGAGTGAAAACATTAAGCAACTACAATAATCTTCATAAGTTGTTCATACTGCTGTAACCAAAAAATATAGTAATGATATAAATAAWGTTATTTTTTACAGACATTTTAAGTTCTAATTTGGACAATTTTATACATTAACACAAAATTAACATAATTTTAGTCATTTTTCTATAATTCAAAAATATTGTTCATGGGTTGCAGGTGCCTACTAGACACGTCTAAAATAATAAAATATACTTTAATATTCTTATTATGACTTGCACTGTAGGTACTWTATACCTAGATATAAAATAAACTTTAATATAAAAAATAGCCACTAAAAATAAAATAATGCCGTGTGCAGCATCACCGTGTACACCGGTTCCAAGACAGTCCAATATTTTCAGCATTACTGATAATTTTAGGATAATATTTATTCAACTTACCGGCTACCTACAGTATTAATATTTAATWATAATAATATAAGTATGATATAAAATATCCTAGACTGACAATGTGACAAACCGTCTTCACGTAGAGTCGTTTTTCGTATACAATGATACTATATAATTGAATTAAAAATATGTATTATCATATAATTAAATGTATATATTACACCCACTGGCAACTACCCACTTGTAACCTACAGTGTAGCAGAGTGACATCCACTATTACCCACTTTTTACTATTATATTTATAAAATTAAACGTATCTTTAACTGGTCAGGTATGGTATAGGTACCTACAGTGGCGGACTGAACTTAAATTTTAAATGACGCAATTTCATATTTTAGTATATACAACCACCACCACCTCCTAATCAGGGACGTAACTAGATCGAATTTTTGGTGTGGGGGGGGGGGTTTAACCTCCCCACCGATTCTGACTTGAATATAATGTCAAGGCTCACAAATCTGGGGGGCAGTTCTCCTCCCCTCAGTTTTCAAATTTACTCGTATTATGATACAAATAATATTACACTTTCTTAAATTCTATGTATTAGGTTTAAAGTAAATATTTGGCAAGTTTTTAAGTGGTCAATAAGCATATGAGTTTGAAATTAAAACTATTGTGTAAGTACATTACATATATACATACAAATATACAATACTATTCTCTATAAAAAAAAAAAAAAAATATCACAATAAAACTATACAAAAAAATAAACAAATTAATTAAGAACTTTATTAACAAGTCACAACAATGACAATAACAGACATTTTTAATGACAAACTTCAAATGTAGTATTATTTAAAAGTTAATGCATTTTTTAAGAGATCTGAAGACTGTGAAAATTTATCAATAACAATATTTATATCTATTGGAATATCTCTTTCGCAACYCAGAAGTAAGAGACTCTCTAATCTACCTTGCCCCATTGTTGATCTTAGTCTTGTTTTAATCAATTTCACCTAGAATTTCATGTTTAGAATTTATTAAATATTTTTTTTTTTATCATGTATTACTAATTTATAAAGACAATATACTTAATTACTACCTTTGAAAAAGATCTTTCGGCTGATGCAGATGATGCTGGAATTGTTGCCAGAGCTCTATACGCAACGTGCAAATTAGGAAAGGCTGAGTCAAGTCCATACTTTGTCAATAATTGAATTATAGTTGTAATAGTTACATTTTTATTCAAATCAATATTTTCATCCATGATATTCAAATTTCCGTCATCACTTGAACAATCATCATTCTCATCAATCTYAGTATTTTGTACTTTGCTAGTGTCGTCATGAATCTCAGTAGGTAATTCTAATCCATTTATAAGTTCATAAATATTATTTTTAAATTGAATATATTCTGTCCTAAGTTGGTCAGTATTGATGTTTTCAAGCCACAGTGAAATGTGTTGAAAACAATCAATTGGCAGATTTTGTGAAACTTTCGCCATTAAACGATCAGGATTTAATATTGCCAAATCTTTTAGTATTTCTTGTGATTGACTAAATCTTTCATGTAATGACATTGTTATTTTATCAAGAGCAGCATAATATGTCTTAATTTTAAATTGAACCATAGAAGAAACATTTGAATTATCATCTGGAGTTTCTCCTGCAAGTAACTTTCTCGTCCTTTTTCTCATTTCTTTAAAGTCTTTTTCTGGCACGTTATTAAAATTTGCAAATTCCTTAACTTCGTTAATAAATACTTCATACTTGCATTCTGATCGCATTTTATTTATTTTTTTTTGCCACATTAACTAATTGTATTGCTTCAAAGAAATCAATAGTTTTACACTGTAGGTAGTTAGAAAGTGGTGTAGTCACAATGAAAATATTTTTAAAAAATATTAAACATAATACAAACTTAAAAGTTGAAATTGTCTTTAAAAATGTCCTTGAACTAGATGCTGTAATTCTATCACTAGAATTTTGTAAGACTTCTAAAGCATCAATCAATGCCTTATATTTACAAAATATGACATTTAAAACTTTACCATGTGAGGTCCATCGAGTATCTGAAAAACTTTTTAATCGCAAAACTCTCTCATCTTTATAAATTTTTCTCATCTGCAATACTGTGGCCTAATGAATTTGAATTACCAGATACTTGAAAAACAAAATTACATTTTACAATTATTATATTAATAAATTAAAAATGTTGAATACCCTACCAAAAACTTTTTTTAAAACAGTAAGTTTGTATCTAGGATATATCAGGGAAATGTGATTAGATTAAAAACTAAGAATTATTAGTGCTTACCGTTATTGGCTTGGATTTTTATCCTTTTATTAAAAAAATTATGAATTGAGTTTGACTGCATTTGTACTTCGTTTAATTTTTTTTTCCTTTTGTTAGTAATGTTTTTTAATGCACAAGCATTAGTGTGTCTCTTCCAATTGGTTGAATTCATATTACGATCTCGAATACGTCCACACGTAACACAATTATTTGCCATTTTTTTAATTTAAGTTATTATTATAAGATAATAAAGTAAAATATGCACAAACTTTTCACAATATCACATCGGTATGATTATAATACGGAGATATTGTAGGKAATGAACAATAAAATGAGAAATAATAGTACAATATAATGAACATGGGAAAAARATGTAATATATTATACTATAATATAGCTATTAGTAAATAATTTAATTTACCCTGTTGTGAATTTTGGTGGCGGTGGTGGTGTTCGTTATACGGATACGTTATCGGATACGCATTACGCGATGTTATCTRTTATGATCAGATTTTCCAAAAATTGTTGGTATTTAATTTATTAATAGATTCAGACGGACGATCGTTCGGTTGGRGATATGGGCAATCATATTTCTATTATTATTATATTTGATATATTCTGTGAAATTATAAACAACGCACAAGACGTACCTAACTCTCATCAGATAACGTCGTACCCGTATTAGTTCTATTTTCATTAATTTTTGAATGTAGCTGCTTTTACTGCGTTTTACGTCGCATTTTGACTTTTGTTCACTCATTCCCTGCGAAGGCCGTGAATTCTACAGGACACATTTCACAGCTCACCGCGGCGGTATGCGCCACGTATAGTACTTATAAGTACTTCAAATTTAAAATCCTTACCTCCGGCGGTTTGTTTTTAATAAATTGTATTATTCTCATAGCCTTACACAAGTACGGGCAGTACGGCAGTTCGACCCACCCTTTTATGTTGAGGTACAGGCCTCAGAAAATTATCTTTAATATGCACTAAAGTCTAACACGGGCCCCTTACATAAGGCGGCTGAAAATTGAAATAGCTATTCACGTCATCGCCAACTACTAAAGTGTTTGAAAATAATTGCATGACTAAGATAACATTGCTACAATGCTACAAATAGTAGCGTACCTACTACCTACAACGAGGCACAGACACGGAGTGTGTGTGTTGTGTCGCACACCACGTTTGCGTGTCTCGTCTTCTCTAACGCCAGACACAGTGACAGTGTATTGAATAATGTATTTACTACATTATTTCTATTTATGTATTGCATAGGTGATAGCCGATAGGTAAAATGTGGTCAAAAGAACCAAGAAGTCGAGCCACAGGCCGGGGTGGCACCACCCCTCTGAAACATTGACGCAGCTGCGTCAAAGTTGAGCCCTTCAGCCCGCCACTGGGTACCTAACATATCATGTTTGAGTTGTATAATAGTATAATTTTATCATCGATTTGTATATTCAAATTTACAATTATGAACACTCAGGATGTAATATTCTGACATCTACCCATGAATTTGACGGTGCTACCACAAACATATTTCAATAAGAGGAAAATTAGTACATTTTTTTATATAAAAAAAATTGATAAATCTACCTAAATTTGACAAAGGCAAAAAAAATAGCTGGAAATCTTCTATTAAAATTTCCAACGATAAGTAGCTATTAAAATAAAACTTTTATGATAATTTCTAATTTAAAAATAATTTGCGAATTTTCGGGTCAAAATTTGAACTTTAAATGCACTTAAAAATAATCGTACGTATGCGTATATCTTTTATAGTTTTGAACTGCTATTAAAGTATCTATTGATGACCCTTGAATTAAATTTTCAAGCTCTGTTACTAGATGAAAAAATTGTTATCGATGATAATTTAAAACAAGTTTGAAAAATTTCTCAAGGCTTATAAATAGCTTACAAAGAGTTTTGATTACGAAAATGTTACCATGTGTCATGTGTGTGGATTTTGGTTTTATTTGAAATATGCAACTATGGACTATGGACTATCTTCATTCATGTATAAGGTATACCAATTTATTTATTACCAAATTTAATGGGTAATAATTATTAATAAACCAAAGTAAAATTATCTAAAATATTAACAACATATTGCTTTTATAGGTCCTTTATGTGGGATTACATGAAAAAATTATAAATTTAATTAATAAATCATAAGCCAATAATTCATGTTTAAGGGACCATTAGCTCACTATATTGATTCGTTAAATATTCAGTGAATGTTCATGCGAACAGGCATTAATATATAGACGTATAGTTCTTACTATAGATTTGTATTATACCTCCCTATCATTTTATATTTTAATATTAATAGTGTTATCCTCATGTAATTATTCTGTGAGCTATTTTTAGTAAACCCAACAGTATAGTATATAGGTAATCATATAAGTTATGTATAAATTATACATACAATATAATCTATGATTTAGTATAATTAGAGAATGTAGTTATTATTCATAAATAACTTAAATATAACAAGAAGCCTAGATCAAAGGTGAAAACAACAAGTTGTTTTTACCTATTCACTATAAAGAATGCAAATTCGACAATAAAAGGAAGTAATATTAGAATATAGGCATATCACGCGATCGTACTACGTCATTGATAGAACCCATATAAATAGGTAGGTACGGGTAGACTGGGTACCTACACTTCACAGTTTTAGAGAGATGTTGCATCAGTCGAAATCTTGTGAGCTTACGACTGTGCATCTAGTATTGTAACTTTATTAATACTTATAGTTATAAATATTTAACTGTATTAAACATAATATATCGAAGTGTTAATTTATTCTATTAAGAATTTAATATAATTTTTTTACATAACATTTTATTTTATTGTAGGTATTGATCTAACTCGGCTAGTTATAAAAGCCATTTTATTGGTAGAAGATGCTGGATTAAAAATGTTAGGTCTAACAAGCGATGGCGCGGCTACAAACAAAACTATGTTTAAGCATGAAGGGGTCTGTGGAAGCAAGGCTGATTTAAAAAGTTATTTTGCAAACCCATTTGACAGCAGACGAAAAGTTTTTGTATTTTGTGACACCCCTCATACTATTAAGAATGTTAGAAACCGTTTAGAACAAAAAAAAATATTAAAAGTAAGCAACGCTCAATTAATATATTTACTACAATATAAAATAAAACATTTAAATTAATTTTTTTAGGTACATCCTTTAAAGGGCTCTGTGAAATGGCAACATTATTGTAAAGTATTCGAACTAGACTCATTGCATCCATTAAAAATTTGTCCAAAAATAACTAAAAACCATATAGAATTAAACAGCTTAGCCAAAATGAAAKTGAAATACGCCACACAGTTGATATGTGACTACTGAATTTTGATTAATTTTATCATAGACTTAAAACTTAATAAGAATATGTTTGTTAACATAAGTTTTTTAAATTTTATTTTATTGACATAATATGTTGTACATTTAGCTGTTTAGTAAATCAATGGCTTTGGATTGAAATTTTATCGTGATCAACAATGTACAGATTAAAAAAATTCTTTGAGACTGAAATGTTTACACTACTAATGAATGATATTTTCGATGCTATGAATCGAAAATTCCCAGCTGAAGGCATTTGGAAAGAGGGTCAAGATATAAAGGTTTTTTATATGTTGTATGTTTGTGGCCAAGTGTTTGTGTTCTGTATTAACTATAATTAATAGTCTATAGTTAATAATCCTATGTTGGTAGCAAGCCGTTATGTTTGTGGAATTTAAAGCTAAGTATTATTTATATTGCTTGTACATTAAATGTTGTGTATTCATGTTTTACATATTTATATTTCAATCATAATATTYGGCTTAGGAATGATCCAATGTATATTATTAATTATAGGTATTAAATCAATGTTTAGTACGGTTAGATGAATGGGAGAGTCAATTATCTGAAGGACATATTAAAGATGAAGAGTTCTTAACCAAAAACACAGCTGAATCATTGAGAATTACTTTGAAATCCACAATAGACTTATCATTATTTTTATTAGATGAATGTGGTTTTCATTATGTTCTTTCTTCTAAATTCAATCAAGATTTGTTAGAAGTTAGTTCTTTCCTAAAACGTTATTTTTGTATAATTTTTTTATATTATAACTTGTATAACATATATTTTAGAAGTTTTTTGGAATCATAAGACAATCCGCTGGTCCCAATTATCACCTTTCATGTCCGACATTCTTACAACTTTATAGATTACTTTCAGTGTACTCTTTGATTAAGCCTCCAAAAACTGGAAATTGTACACTATCCGAAGGTATACTAAAAATAATAATTTTAATAATATATATTTTTAAAGGATTACATCAATTAATATAATCAAAAATAATTTTCCTTATTTAGATCCAGATTATGAACCCTTAATAAGTATGTCTGATTTAAAAGACACAATGGCAGAAAATACAACAGAAATAAGAAAAAAAAAATTTCAAAATTAAAAACTTATTTAGACACTATCATAGA